TGGGCATCTTATCAATCCCTCCAGCAAGCTCTGTCCCTTTCCAAGACAATGATAGCATTATTTTTTTTTTTCAAGCCTTCTCCTGTAACACATTTGGACCTGAAACTTTGGTTTAGAGCGATCCAGAAGGAAGCAGACACTACAAATAGGGCCAGGTAAAAATGAAAATGCCATCTTTTCAGGCAGAATTTGTGGGCAAGGAAATCATGAGAAAAAGCTGAGACCCTGTCCCCGGGACAGAGTGTTATGAGCCCAAGACTCATAAATACTTTGGCTTTGACACTCTTGCTGGCCTTGGGCAAGTCATTTATCCTTTTTGGCTCCGCTTCCTATCTGTAAAGAGATAGTGTAACACCACCTTACTTACCTCACAGGCCTTTGTGTGGGCTCATTAGTTAGTGTCTATAAAATACCTTGTAGATGAAAAATGCAATTGACAGCAAAGGCCAAATTCCCCTCTCATTTATACCAGCCCAACCCCTATTAAAGTGAATTGAAGTTGAGCCAGCGAAACCTGGAGGAGAAATTTTGGCTGTAGATGTAAAGTAAAGCTATCGATTTGTCTGCACAGAGTTGTCTGAGGCAGCTCCCCTCACGCTGTCTGTGCTGTGCTGGGACAGAAGCCCAGTGCTTGTTTTATTTTGCTGCCGTTTCTTTTTTTTTTTTTTTTTAATTAGCTACAGAAGACCTGGTACTGCTCTTGCGGAAGCCAGGAGAGAGGCAGCTTTGGCTGGGGCTGGTTTGGTGATTCATAGACACCTCGGGCAGCGGCAGCTCTTTGCAAAGCATTCCTGTTTCTGAACGGCGGATTCTGCGGTGCAGCAGACACGGCTTGGGGGCAGGTGATGCAAAAGTGGCTGCGAGCCATGTGCACCCTGCCCAGACTCAGGGGAGAGATTAGCATGTGAAAACAGGCCCCCCAGGAGTCCTGCAAGGCTCTGAGGACCAGGGCTGGGTGCTCGAATGCCAGTCATGGCATGGATTTAGGTTCACGTGTCCCAGGGGAGTCACAAGAGGGAGAGTGCTCCTTTGGGAGGGTGAAGGATTTGACCTTTGAAGTTCCCCTCCACTGCTCTGGGGATGGTGGCCCTGTATCAGACAGGGTAAAGGAAGGAACCTTATGCTATGGCCAGCCAGAAGGGTCTGCAGGGACCTTTTGGCCAAAAAAACTCAGCCAGAAGGGTCCGCAGGAACCTTTCGGCCAAAAAAACCTCAGCTATACTGACAGCAGAGTAGAAAGCATGCCAGGCAGGTACCACCTGCTTTTTCTTGTTATTATTATTATTTGACACAGCCAAAAGGCTGCCAGAACTGCAGAGAGGAAAAGCTTGCTCTAGCTTGAATTGCTCTTTGAGTTGTGAAATGATTTGAATAAAAGGCATCTCAGGGAGGGGCTTTACTTGGCCCACCCTGAGTAAGGTGATATCCTACATCTGAGCATCAGCTGAACCGAACCAGTGAGCCAGCCTCATTACACAGCAATGCTTACCCAGGGCTTATTGAAGCTTCAAGGGTGGAGCCCAGATGCTCTTTCCTGCTGAAGCACCTGTGTTCCTTGATTTCATTTTCTTCCACTTCAAATGCAGCCTGGTGCTTCCTGCAATTTCTTCTTAATTGCAAGCGAGGGCATGAAACCTCCTCATGATCAAAGCTATGCTTTGACAGGTTAGTTGCAATTAAATTTGGGTATCAAGTGGTGTGTCTGCAATTTAACACTAAGTCTATGCTCAAGAGTGGGCATAAAATGAGGGCCATGCCACCCTCTTGCAGATCAAGTAGTTAGATATCTAGATGGGTGCACTTGCAGACAACAGTATATTGTGCCCAAGTTATTGCAGGCTTGGATGAAGCCCATCTGAAAATGACTAACCAGGCACTCCTGTGGCAGGGCATTTGATAGGACATAGGTCTCTTAATTTGCTAAAAGGGAGCCAGAGGAAAGCATTCAACAAAAAATGCCTTTAATTGTGGACCAGATATAAGGCAGTCAGAAAGCTACTGGCACAAAAATAGCTTTGAATCAAGAATATTTGCAGTAGCCTTATTATTTACCCTTAAAGGCTTTACTCGGAACAAATATCTGTCTGAGCACAGCAAAACAAGACCGCATATTGCCCTTGAAATCTGTGCTCTGGAGGATTAGAAACACAAATGTTTAATCTACTCTAAGAAAAAGAAAGAAAAACGGAGAGGGACAAATTCCATTGAAGTAACACATCCAGTTTGATCTAGATGGGATGACTACCAGAAACCTCAAAAATGTATAAGTTGCGGGTGGGGAGTACAAGAAAAGTCTAATATCCAAGCTCATGAAAACGAAACAAAAAAAACTCTCTCACCCTCTTTAATTAGAGATATTGAGGGCTCTTTAAAGTGCTCAGCTGCAAAAGCCAGAACTGCTCAAAACTCCTTGAATCCAGGTTCATTATTTCTATGGGTTTTAGATGGGAAGTGACCCTGGAGTGACAGCTAAGGTTCCCTCTGAAAGAAAAACTCAGTCTGATCCAAGGCAGGGACTCCTGTCTATTATCAGAAAATAATAATTTTTAGTTTTCTCCCGTGAAAGTAATGCAAATCTTTCCTGTTTTGCTGCCATCTCTTTTACTGCTGGATCAGGGAGTACTATGGACCCTACTGATGAGGCTAAAACTCACTAACAGTCTCAGATTCAAGGAAATGAGTCAATAAACAGAACAGGAAGGAAAAAGGCCCATTTAAGCCTGGGAAACCACATACCATAGGGCAAGAGTTTAATGCCTTTCTTTTTACTATGAAACTGGGGACCAGAACTTTCAGGTGCTGGGTCCGTGTAGGGGTGATACCCCTACGCCGTCTCAGGTCAAACATACTCATCACACACACACATTAAAAAGCACAGGTCCATTGCTTTTAATGAGGCAACACCAACGTTAAAACACTACAACAAATCCTGAATGAAATATATCCCAAGAACATTCTGGAGAGACCAGAAAAGACAAGTGAAGATTTAATCAGCCTTTTGGAGACCCCTCACTGATCGAAATGCCAGCCCAGCTTGGAGACTGCTCACTGGACGAATGCAGGAAACCTGGCATGAATTTGGTCCAGCATTGAAGTTTTCATCCGAAGTTAAAATGAATAGTGTGTCCTGGAAGGTATTAAATACAGATTTCTGTTTAGTGCATTGCCCAAGCAGTGAGACACTGCTTGTAAATACTGAAACACAAGCTGTCCGCATGGGCCAGCTGAAGCTCTGTTGCAGCAATACTGTGAGGAATGGGTTTGTCAACATCACTGTCAGGTGAAGTAAGCCAGACTAAGAGCAACTGCCCCAAAATAGGCCATAAAGGTAGACTTTGCTGTACGTGTCAGCGACTGACTCAATGCAAGGATGTGAAAGGAAACGTGTCCAAAGGCAAAAGAGCCCCCCTGAACAAGCCTGCATTTCCTCTGCTTCAGCTTTTATTGTCCATTTACGTTAAGGTAGGCAAAGAAGGACAGTTATAGTCTGTTCCCTCATGGAACAAGGAGGAAGACAGAATACCTATTTAAAAACAAAACAAAACAAAAAAAAACCTGTAAGTTTGATCTAGTGCCTGGAAGCCACTTCATCTTAGAAGCAACCATGGAAGTGCAAGGGAGCCCCACTGTACATCGCACCTCTGCACTGCCTTTCACTCGGGGGTCAAAGAATTCTTAAAGACTATAATCAGGTTTTGGTATGTGCCAGGAGGTAGGTTTTATTCTCTGTGGTTTGCCTGTGGTGGAAGTGGGGCACAGAAAAGCCAATTTTCACAGTTTCCTATAGCGTTTGACACCCACACAAAAAGGTCTGGGTTTCAGAAGCTCCACAGGCGCATGAGAGGAACCAAGAGCAACTGTTCTGTTGCACAACTTCGAATAGCAGCCACATCTTCACTCCATTTCCTACCATGCAAGCACTGGTGAAAGTCAGCACTGAACTTGATATCCATGCTTTGAGTATCTTCCCTTTAAATGCTAGATAGTTCTTCTTGTGCTGTGGTTTTGCCCTGCACGGTGATTGCTACACTAGGAATAAATCAATGATATGCAAACTGGCATGACTTTTGTTAAAAGCATGTGCCCACCAAATCTGTACCATTTTTCTCTTTCTGCCTAGCCTTTCAACTTCAGCAATATTCCTCTTCCCCTGAAGAAACTGTTTCTTAGTTTGGAGAGTCATTTGCAGTTTTAGTGAATGACTCACAAGACGCATTATGGATACAGCCGATTAAAAGGGCCAGTTTCACCTCCTCGTCTATGAATAGGAGCCTTAGTTCTTGGGAATCAGATCTCGGTTATCTGCTCAGTCTGAGGTTCTGTCTTGCAAAGGCCCTGGGTGAGGTAAAACAGGGCTTTTTTGACCAGTGGGTATGTTGCAATAAAAACCCTGAAAGGCTCTGGCCAGATGTGCCCCAGATATAACTCAAGAGCTGGAGCCGCAGCTACTGAGAAGCTGGTGGTATGGGATTTCACCTAATGCAGCTGGTAACATTTTAGAACCAATGGCCCAAATTCAATTGTATAAACTGTTATGGACTTCTTGCATAAACATACATCACTCTCTCTAATTTTTGGATAGCTGCATAACACTGGATACTGTTGCTGTAACTTTTACAGTGTTAGCTCAGTGAAATTGCTAAATGCACTTGAAGGGCTGGAAATAATAAAGCCATATGTGTAACTGTGTATTTCATAAATGAGAGGGCATCACCATAAACTGTGAAAAGAACGCAGCTGTATGAAATTACAGTGATGAATGTGCAGTTCTACTAGCAAAGGCCAATAAATGACAATGCTGGCACCAAGCTGTTCCCTCAAAAAGCACGGGCACTAAAATGCCTTGCAGGAGGCAATTGCTTAATATGCCCTTCGTTTTTGTGCAGAATATAATCCTGGCGTTTTCTCCTCGTAGATATCCTTGCGGTTTGGTGGGAGCAGGAATGTTAACTCCAGACATTTGTGTCACCTGGGTTGCCACTCAAGGTAGGTAGACCTGGCTTCAGCTCTGGAGAAAACCATCAGTTCTGGCCTCCGAGCAGCTGCTGTGGCTGGAGGAAGGACAAGCACGGGCCAAAGGCGAGCACAGCGATGGGCAGAGCTGTCGGCACTCTGCTCTTCCCGGCCTCTCTCTAAAGCCACAGAAAGCCCCCAGCTTCGCAGGTCGTTGTGATCAATGCCCGTGTGCGTGCAGCTCCCCGGGAAACTCCGGCAAAGGAGGGAAAACAAAGGACGAGTTAGAACAAGGGCCCAAACAAAAGGCTGAGCCATCAAGAGCTGATGGGAGAAAGACAAGGATCGGGATTACAGCCAAAAGACACTCAATAAGGAGATGAAGGACAGTGAGTAAATCCCGGTGACTCATAAAGGATGGAGAAACAAAGGCCATGATTGTTATCGGCTCCTAAATGATCCAAAAAGCACATCCCAAACTGTCACATGGGCTCACCCAGAGAAGAGGCCAGGACGGCTGGGAGCTGCTGAGTGTCCCTTGTCCTCTTCAGGACCACAGGGAAACCTGGTCCCACTGCTAGGACACACATGTCTCATTTACCTAAGAAAAACAGTATTGGTATGAGCGAGTGAAATCAATTTTGTTAAAAAAAAAAAAAATCTTCTGCAATTTCTACAACATTGCAACAGCGAAGATAAAGGTTTAGAAGCAATTAAACCTCTGACCAGTCTGGCTACGCTGCTGGAAAGCATTTCCTGAAAGAAGCACCCTGGGATAAGAGCAGCTTTGAGCCATCAGCAGATAAGCGGTGACTGGGAAGCTTCCACATCCTGAGCCCTCGGTGGGGAGCTGTGTGGGCATCACAGGCGGGAGTGATTGTTGCTCCTTGCTGATCCTGATAAGGGGGCAGAAACCTCTGTGGATAAACAGCCATGGCTGCTGTTTACCCACCACCCAGGGCCATAAACGGAGCCTCTCCTTAGACCTCCTTCACTCAAGAAATACACAAAATAACTAATAGGAGTGCTTGCCAGTGTGTGAAGTACCTGCAGAAAATACCACTGGGTACATGGAGAGTCCTATGCTTTAGGTGGCTCATTGCCCTTGCTTAACATACTACAAGCAGCTGAATGAGGCAGTCCCTCATAGGTACTCAGCACAGCAAGTCCACACTTCACAGGGACAGCCAAAATAACCCAACTGTCTTAACATGCCCTGTTCTTGCTTCTATCTTGCAGCTGCTGTGGCAAGACCCTGCCCAAGCCCCATAAAACACAGAGCCAACAAGAATGTACCCACTGGTGTGGCTGCCATGGTGCTTCAGCTGCAGACACGACTGCACAGCAGGAGCTCTAGAGAGAGGTTTGTCACGCTGCCATCAGCACTTCCTCCTTATTTGGGATGTCTGGGCAGGTAGGAGAAATACAAGGCTCTGGCAAGAGGCAACTTGCAACTGTAGCTGGGTTTTTTTTGCAGCTCAAGCTGCAAAGCTCAAGCTTGCAAACTCAAAAATAATCCAGGGTGAGGCAAAGATTGGCCCCTCAGAGAGCAGCAGGAGCAAGGGGTCAGGAGTGACTTCCCCTCTCACCTCAGATTTACTGTTTGGTCCCCCTTTGTTTTATTGTTTCCCATCAGCTGCCTAGCAGCCTCCTGGAGCCGCTGTCACATATCAGAGAAGTTTTCCTCATAAAATAAAGGGTAAAGCAAGCCAACTAGGGCTGGATCTGGCTGGAGCAGGGTGCTGTATTTATAACACATGCAAGATGAGGAAGGTGGTTACAAGAGCTCGGGCCAAATCATATACTTCATATCAAGGGAGGAATTATTGGGCATGAGGTGAAAAGGAAAGAACAACTGGTAATGTAATTATGGGATTATGCTTGGGCTGACTCCGATAAAGCCGCGGCTGCACAAGATCAGAACAACCTGGGCCAGTGAGCCTCTCATGGGGACCAGCTGGATTTGTCCAAGACACTTATTATGGTGCATAGGAAAGGTGAAGTCCGGGGAAGGGTTGGGGAGCTGATCTTTATCTTATGACTATGTTTGGTCATGTAACTCAAATAAGCTCCTGAGTTCAAAGCCTGCTGACACTTAACATTTTTCCAGGCCTGTTGTGGATTACCATGTAGGATGGAAAAGTCTGTATCTTCTGTTATCTGTCATTAGCAAGAACAACAAAATCAACATAAAAATACATTAAGGGGAGCACAACCTTAGTGACTTCAGGGTGCCATGCTTAAGGGGTCCTGCTCTGGAGTGCTCTGCCTATAAAAGTCCTCTTGTGTTTGCTTGCCACATTCTCCTTAGGCACCCGAGTCACACAATTCAGAAAGCCCAGAGTCCAGGCTCATAGTCCAAAGACCTTTACCCATGAATTTCCTAATGTGCACTGAGTACTGGAGTTGTAAATCACCCAGAGATATCCTCAGGCACAGTAAGCTTTGGACACAGCTGATCTGGGCACAGAAGCAAGTTTTTTCCTTTCCCCTGAGAGTCCCTTCTCTGCAGAGATGCATCTCTCCTTAGTTGGGGGCCTCTCCTTGGGTTTGTGTGTTAAGCACCTTGCAGAAGAAGGTTACCTACAGTGGTGACACCTGAGCACAAGCAGCAGGTTAGAGTCAAAGGCTTTGCTTTGATCAACGTTGGGAAGAGCAATGGAAGGGAACACTGAGAAAAGAACAAGACTGGGAGGTTTGCAAAGGACTACGGAGATATGTACACAGGATTTTTTTTTTCTTTTCTTTTTTTTTTTTTTTTTTAAAGAAAATAAAGAAGTGTGAGTAAGATGAAAATTGCATCCTAGGAGCCGGGAGAACAGAGACAGGGAGAGAACAAAGAGAACAATCTAGAGAAGAAGTAAAATAAAGCAAAGGAGAAAAAAAACCCAAACCAGAAAATGATATGGGTTAAGACTATGTGAAGACATTGTGGAAAACAAAGAATTGAGGGACAGGGGATGTTGTTCTTTAAAGAAGGGAGGAGAGAAATATGAAAGAGAAGAGGAAAAGTAACAGGGAAGACTGTAGACAGAAGCTGGCAGAGAAAGTGGTTGGAGGAAAAATGAAATGTTGGAGAGCAGGATGAAAGGTGTGTAATATTAAGACTAACAAAATGTATCTTATTTATTCATGCTCCTTCTGGATTATTTTTTCCTGGCAGCTTCCTAGGTGAGGGTCCAGCTGCCATGCGCTCCCCTTGCTCCATGGAGAGCAGCCAAGCACTTCTCTTTGAGGATGATGAATGTGTAAAACATTCTCGAGCACTTCAACCTCCGAGAGCTCTCCAAAGCCCCCTTCTGCCTTGGGCAGCTTCCCGAGAAGCCTACCTGCTGGAAAATTGGAGGCTTTGGTAAAACCTGTGTGTTGACTCCTGTACGCTCCTTTTGCAGGGTTGTCCATCATTAATATTGAAACATAAATTTGGGGGTGAAATAACTGGAATCCCGCAGCAAGGAAGGTTTGTGTAGTCCACTCCGGCCTCCCCATCTTACCTTGTTATCGGGGTGCATGGCAAGTGCAGGCTCCTTGCAGACACATGGGCTGCACTGTCCACCTCTAGCAGTTTATTTAGCAACTTATTTATGGCACAATCCAAATACTATTGCATTTGATGGAAATTCCTCCCCTAGTTTCAATGGGAATTGGTGTGGCCCTATATGAGACCGTCACCCAGCCATTCCCTTTGGACTCTTTTTAGGATTTGATTTGGTGAGCAGTTTTATCAGTGTGGAAGATGGGACGTTTAGGGAGGCAAGATAAGGCCCTTAATCCATTTCTTTCTTCCTCTGAACAAAGAGACACCTTTTCCCGGCTGCTTTAAATCACCTTTTCCAGCCCTAAAGGGATGTTTAAAAGAAAGGCCTTTCTTACAGGTAATTTTTATTTGTCCAGACAGTGACACAGTAGATTTTTCAAAAGCTTGCTAGTGCTTGCTAGTACTTGCTAGTACTTTGAGGGTGTAAGTCCCTTTTGGGTTCAGAAGCGAGGCTTGGGCTCTTTTTTTTTTTTTTTTTTTCCCTTCAGTTAAGCAGCAGTGCCAGTATCCCTTCTCTGCACCATCCATCACAATTGTAAGGCCCTGTGACACTGACTTTGGCTTGGCTTGCAAATAAGCTCTCTTTTTTTTTTTTTTTTTTTGCCCTTCAGGCCTGTCTTCCTTGTCTTCAGCCAGATCTCTAAGAAAGTGTCTCCTTTGAGGAAGGAGTGAATGAGATGTTTCAAACAACTCTTTTTTTAAAGCAGAGACATGTGTAAGAACTGCCATGTTACAGGATTGACATTAGACACGGGGGAGGTGTTTAAACCAGGAAGTTCTCAAAGCCCAGGGCTCTAAACTGGGACCTTCTGTACCTACCTGTTTTCCGGCAGCAATGTTAAATGTGATAAAAGTGTCATGTTAGAAAACATGTACAAACTTGCCTGGTGTTTATGAGCTCTAGGAGAGTTAGTATTAATGAAAGGATCAATCAGCTTAATAAAAAGCTTATTCCCTCTTGTATCATATGCGTGTATTAACATCAAGAGTCTGGGAAAAGACAGAGTATTTTAGGGAACATCCTCTGCAGAGTGGAGGAAATGACCGTGCTGGGTGCCTCTAATGGTAACACTCCTATGCGAGAGAATCTGCACAGGTCCAGCAACAACAAAAGAAACAGTCTTTTTAGCTGGTGAGATCTGAAATGCTGTCAGCATCATCTTGTTTTCAGGAGGTAGTAAAAGCATAAGGACACGCAGCAGTAACTGCAGGCAAACAGACTCTGTGCAGACTGGCATAGATCTGAATACCTCCGTGCTGCTCAGTGTGACCCTGAGAGCCTTTTGCCCACACAAACAGCCCTGTTGTCTTCAAATAAACCAGTGAAATCTCTCCTGCTTCTCCCAGGGGTGAAGGGATTGTAGGATTAGGCCCTGAATGAAAGACTGCAGGGAAAAAAATTGCCTCAGCCAGACCAGTCTCATCAGGCATCTCTTACATGGCTGGGATTTTCTGTACTGCACTGCCTTATCACAAGCAGGGGCATCTCCTGTGCTGATGCATGTGCTAGGTTCTCTCACTTTCAGAAGTTCCAATTAAATTAATTAATTGCATTAAAAATAACTTCCTATTCAGCTGGGTAACCATACTGTCCGTCCCAGGGAATCAGTGTGATTTCCTGAAGAGCCTTGTTGCTTAATGCATTTTAAATCACAGGTTGGTGGTGACTGTGCAGCTGCAGTGTTGATTATAAATGATGTCACACACAGGAAGTGTCAGAATGAAGAACATCCCCTGCCACGATAGTGCTGAGCACCCCAGCACCCCAGCACGCCTCTTTTGCCACGCACGCCTCAGGTTCGGATGTGGAAATCCCAGGCCTTGCTCCCGATCCTGTTAACCCTGAACTGTGAGAGTGAAGTCACGCAGTGTGAAACAGGAGCGTGCAACTTATAGGGTAAGCAAGGCAAGGGAAGCAACCAAACAGGCACACAGGCTGCTGCACCTCCTTTTTCCTTTCCTCTCCTGTGGGACCAGCCTTCCTCCCTGGACAATCACAGGGGGTTGCTGCAGGACAGGGCACGAGCCGGGTGCTGTGCATGTAGTAACCATAGACTGTACAGTGCCAGTCGAGGTGTATAAAACACCCCTAACTAACTGGCTTGTTGGGTCATTATGAGCCGTGTGTAGAGTGTTTACACAGCGTGATTTCATCGTCTCAAGGCCTGTCGTGTGAACTGTGGACTTGTACTACCCTATGGGTTATATAGGTGGTACTTGTAGTAGGCAGAGAAGACAACCTTT